GCCATCGCACAAGACTGGAGGTGAGTGATGTCTAGGGGGTTTGAATGCGTGAATCGAGGCCTCTCTTGGCTATCCGACCAGCTGCCTGACTGTCTGCCTCCCTCCCTTCACATTCATTTGTAAAACACTTGGGCGAACCATTCGCCAAGGCCCTATTTGCCACTAAAAGCTGCTATCTCCTCTCAGCCACAATAATGGGCCATGCATAGAAAAGGAGGGTCCTCCATCCCAGTTGCTTCTTGAATTACAATCTAGGGTTGATGGTGATGATGAGAGAGGCCTTTAAATTACAGCAACACGGGCAGCTCGCCTCCGCCACTGTAGGACACTCAAGCCACACTGGGTGTCCAAATTAAATACAATTATCCCTATTGGCATGATAAAAAGACATAGCGGGGGTGTTGTTGTTTAGAGACAAGGGAGGCTGTGCGCAGATTTGGCCCTCAGACACTACAGAGCACTTAGAAAGAAACTTAAATGGCGGATTAATAAAAGAGCCCACCACGTTGAATAAGAGCGTTAATGTCTGACCCACGATCAGTGCCTGAAGCTGCAAGGGACGTCTCTCGTATGGCAGCTGGACCTTTTTGAATTGGAACTGAAAGAGTGGTGATTGGTTGCTTGCATTGAAACGAATTTGTCAGCCATTAGCCACAATCACCCTGAGGGAATGCACAATGCAACATGGCTTTATACTACCAGCAAACGGTGTAATATTTTTGATTTAGATCTAAAATTCTAGGACAAATATGTGAATTTGAGACCATATTAAAGGCCCTGTTTTAATTTAACTGGGTTATTGCAACAGGCTCTGCAGGGCACTTTTCAAGAACAAGGTAAAATCTTTATAGAAGACACCTTTTATAAGAAACTGTTAATAATTCAATAACAAATTTATTTTTTTCAAAAACTCAATTTTTCAGCGGCATTGGTTCTAGGAGTAATTTTTCCATTCATTTTTCCCATATGGATTTTAAAAAGTCTTTGTTAGAGAGTTATAAGCCATGAACCAAGCTAATCAGCTAAGAGGTGAATCACAACACTACACACTTTGATTTGAAGCAAAAACTTTTTGAAAAATGGACAAAAAGACAAAAGGTACAAGACATTAACGACATTAGTGGACTACAATCCCATGAAGCATTGCAAAGAGCATAATCAAATTAAAAACAATGGAGGAATACGAAACCACACATTTACAAATGTTTATATGCATACACAATATATTTTACGTTCATTGCAAAATGTGCAAACAGATTTAAGAGATCGACTTCGCAGGTTCGCAACTTCGCTATTTTGACAAGTTGCGTTTTCAACTCTGATTGGTGTAATTTTCTGTACAGCATCGTGGGTAATGTAGTTTTTCACCACGAATTCCACTGTTAAACATGATTATTTTCAAAATATATTGAAATAATGCAGCCTGATGGCTTCAGCAAATCAAATACCATGGATTAACAACCCCACAATAGGTCTATCTTTAAAGGTGTATATGTTAAATAACATACATACAAGCATATTTTGTTTCCCTATATGGAGAAAATGCTTTGTTTTCAATTACAGAACCTGCCTATACAAAAAATGTACATTAACACAGAAAAAAATACAGGTAACAGGGTTGAACACTTTCAATTTTTTTCCTTTTATTAATTAAAACTTAAATTTAGTTAACCTAGCAGTTAGGTTTAGAAATAGTTAAAACTAACTAATTAACTTATTCTCCATAAATTAAATAAATTCATTTCCAAAAATGATAATAATTCTATTAAAATGTACATTGCTTCTTATAGTATTTTGAGAAATTAAGGTTGAACGCTTGAGTCAACATGACAATAGGGTTAAAAAAAGAAAGAAAACAATTTACTTGTCTTCTGATAAGGAAGGTATATATTTATACATGCAACAGAAATGATCCAATGTTTCTTCTCTACTGTTCACTGGCCCAATATAAAATCTAGTTTAGGTTTTTATTATTTGTCTTCAAAGCTTTACACATGGTGTCACCATATTGCATTTCTGACCTCCACAAAGTCCCCGTTACACCAGGCCTCATAGATCCTAAAACCAATTTCTTCTGTCCACCCCACGGTCCTGCCTAAGGTGATTGAGTCTGCTTGCATCCTCGCAGCTATGGAATAGTGAAATGAAATCAGTGCTTACAACATCTTCACAGCCTGCCCATGTGTTTGTGAGTCGAATCAAGTGCCTGACACATGTTTGATGGAGCTGTGATGTCATAATGCATTTACAATCTCTGTTCCTCTTTCCTTAAAGACGCTTGTGGTTATGATCTAGTATTCACTTGAAAGCTTGATCTCTGTCATCTTGTTTGCATAAGCCTCACAAGAGTCACCACAATAAATGTGAGACCAAAGCAAAGGCACATTTCTGGCTCTCAGTGACACACGCATACGCTCTGGTATCCATCTGTAAAAACCACTGTTCACTGTGTCATCCTTGAATAGTCGCATGCTGAAGTGTGCGGTCACAGAGTTAAATGCATTTATATAAACGAAGACACTGCCTACGCAGCTGAATACAAAATAAGAAATGTAATGTAATAATGTTCCTGAAGAGTTTCCTTGTATATTCGATATTGAACTGTGTGTGCCAGTTTTAGAGGGACAGTTTTAAGTAAGTGGCAAGATTTATCAATGCAATTTAAATTTCTAAACAGGTGGTAATTTCAGAGAATGGGCGATAAAGGGGCTTTAATTAAATAATTTAAATGAATACTTCTTTTCAGCAAGGCTGAATTAAATCAATCAAAAGTGACCGAGATGTTTATAATGTTACAAAATATTTCAAATATATAGTGTTTTTAATCAAAGAATCTTGAAAACGTTTATAACGTTTTCATAAAAACATTGAGCAGCACAATCATTTAAATACATTATAGATTTTAAATGAGTTGAATACAAATACACTCATTTAAAGGGATACTAATAATATCACTATGAGTGATAGATTGATCAGTACTGTAGCGCAGCCAAAGGATGATGAAAAAAAAAAATGGATGCTACGGTAATTGCTTTAGATATAAAACATTCTGAAAATGATTGTGTTATCGCATTTATTTTGACATCCCTAATATACTTCAGCTTTGTTTAAAGTGTCAGCTTTATGCGAATTGTTATATCCTGATCACTTTTACAGACAGGTGGACATCAAACCCAGCACCACACATTTCCATTTCTTTATTTGCCCCCAAATCAAGCACTCAAAACAAAAAAAGTTCCCCAGTCCTGTCACTTGGTCATATCATTTTACTTACCATAAATTACCTTCTCTACACACGGCCTGGCTTCTAGTGAGCTCAGTGGGGCCTGCTAGACTCTCAACCAGCAATTAAGTGTTGAATAGGAGTTATCGTGTGCCGTGACCTCCCCTGACCCACTCATTGAAAAACCACTGCATTCTCTCTCCATTGAGCTTGTCTTTAGTATTCAAGGCACTGGCCACTGATTTGAACAGTACCATCCTTAGCAGAAAATAAGGTCAGAGGGTCAATTTAGAGAAATGCAGGCTTTGTCATAAATCAGTCTGATCGAAAAATGCAGCGTTTCACCAATTAAAACCTTGTCTGAAAGCAAAAATAAGATATTTAACACTCTAAAGCCTGACATATGAAATAAATAAAACAAATTGTCTAAATTAGAACAATAAAAAAAAAAAGAATTACAGTGTGTTTTAAGTTTTGTATCATATTTGATACATTAACAAATTATTAGCTTTTTTGGAATGATATAGTGAGATTATTCAGAGGCCCAAATTTAGCAAAGTTTATGTAAATAACTTTACTTACATAAAATGCAAATAAATATAACATGTCAATCTGTATGTGTCTTGGCAAGATGATATTTACAAGCTTTGACTTATCATCAAAGCTCTGCAGTTAAAATTGTGGAGAGCAAAATATATAATGCAATGCAATACAATGATGATTGAGAGACTGAACATTCTTCACAAGCCTACTGTATTTATCCACTATAAAAAATAATTATAAAAAAATGTATACATATATATATATTATATATATATATATATATATATATATATTATTTTTTTAAATTATATTATAATAATTATATATTATATTATAATTATAGAATATACAATTATAATATATTATAATAAAATTATATACATATAGTTGTATATATACAGCATATATATATATATATATATATATATATATATATATATATAGTTGTTTCAGTCCAGTAATTGTTCATCTTGAAATATTACTAATAATATAAAAGGTATTCAGAGCAAAAGGTTATGTTAACCAAGACATGAAGGAAAGTGTTTTTAGAATTAGGCTGAAAGGCCTTTCACTTAATAATAAATAACTTATAAAAAACTATGAACCGTCAATCATAGGGCAGAAGGCATACTGAATTGCATACAACAGGTTTTTCAGCAGCGTTTTGATCATGTTGACAATAATAATGGTAATGTAGATGCCTGCTAGAAGTCAACCAGCAAACATAAACAGAGAAAGTTACCTTAACAAGGCACGACGGATACTATTTAACCGGCTTTGATCCGGTCCCTAACAGAATATCCACTGTATACCGCTAATGATTTTTACAGTAGCTTTATCTGCTCCCAAGCTCATTAGAGGTAAATACGTTTAATCACTGTATACCGAGTCAATACCTAATATACTAATCGCTGTGGCACAGGGCGACCTTTAATTTTCATGGGCAACATCTTGAACGACAACAAGCAAGGTGTTAGCCGGCTGCTGTTGAAAGGGTAGAGTTCATACGTGTTAAGTGCGCCTCCTCACCTTCAAGAACCTTCATCAAATGTATTTGTCGAAATGGGAGCCCATCAAAAACAGCTGCTAGCGCCGGGAAGCGCGTGTAAACAGTGGTGCTTACGTGGTAATTGGTGTGGAGCCTTTCATGAAGATAAGACTAAATACATCCATCACACAGCAAAACCTTTTTATTTGAGATCATTTTCAATGACACCCACAAACATCCATCTACCTTTTTTTCCCTCAACATAAATGTGACCTTTCATGTTTTTTTTTTTCTTCTTTGAGATGTTATTACCAAAACACTAATTTTACACCTCAGCCATTATCCTGAGTGGCCGTGGGCTCACGTTACAGGGGCGTTTTATGATGTCATATTTCTGTTTGCAAGCGTGTGATAACAGAAGGACTGACAGGGCCAGTAATGGGTGCCCAGTGAAATGTCATGGTCTATCAGCGGCCCAGAGCAGCACAGGAGGGCCGTTGTAAGACAGAGGCCAGACGCAGGGCCTCCGCTGTTGTTATTGGTAGAGCTCTAGAAGAGAGGGAGTGAGGGAGCACAGCAGATGTGACCTCCTCACACACATAGAGCTCCTATTGTGTCCCAGTTATTCAGTGTTCCTCTGGGTCTGCCTCTGCCCTCAACCATTAACAGCAACTGCCCGTAACTGCGAGAAGAAAAAAAAGATAAAGATAAAGTAAACGTGCAGCGGACACGCATGCAACACGCCAACAAGGCTCAGTGTGTTTAGAGGAAATTTACAGAAAAGCATCAGGAATTATGACTGCTTTCAAATTTTACACCTCTCAGGCAGGGTGTATTCTGATTGGACTATAGCTGAAATCTTAAAAGTGTATCTTTAGGAGTGCCGTGGGCCCATGACTATTGGCACATGCTCTGACGCATCGGGCAGAGGTGTTCGTGTGAGCAAACAGCAAAGTAAGTTCAAGTCCAGCATGCAATATTTTCTGATTCGATTTATCCACTGCTCCCCATTCTTTCCTCATGTAACAGTTGGTAAAAGTGGTAAACTAAAATAAAATGTAAAATAAAAAGTGCACAAATCAATGTGTACCTTAATTATTTTCAATACCTTTTAAAAAAAAAAGAAAAAAGATTAAATGGCATTTTAATGAAAAGATAAAAATGTCAATTTAATGCAATAATATTTATTTAAACACTTTAAGTATATAAAACAGTAAACTAAAAAATTAAATAATAAATTAAATAAAATCAAATTAAAATTATTACAATTTAAGTATAAAATATATTAATATAAAATAAAGAGTGAAAATAATAGGCATTAGGCATTGAGGCATTTGATAACATGGAGTTATTACCTGATTTCATTCACCCTCTTTTCTACATTGTTTTCTCTTTTGCAACTTATCCAACTGGTTAAAGTGGTAAGGCAAAGTAAAGTTAAAGTAAATAACTAAGTAGGTAAGTAAAAAAGTGCATCTTTAAGTATTCATAAAATTAAATAAATATACAATAATCTAAAATAATTACATTTTAGTAATAAAACAATCAAATATGTTTATATTTCTCATTTAAAAATACAATCTATGTATTATTTACTTTTATTTTAATAGTAACGACGAAAGTTAAAACGATTGAAAGTTAAAAAAAAAAATCACAGAATATATATATATATATATATATATATATATATATATATGAAGAGTTCAGATGCAAAAGCCTCTAAGTGCCATTTGAAATTTTCTTCTAGAATGATCATTTTTATCAAGCCTGTATATTTAAGTTCAGTGATTTCACTTAAATGGCAATGATAAATACCTATTAATTGTTATTTAAGTGAAATTACTGAACTTAAATATACAAGTTTGATAAAAATCATCATTAAAGAAGAAAATTTCAAATGGCATTTAGAGGCTTTTGCATCTGAACTCTTCATATATATATATATATATTGTGTGTGATCATCCTCATATTCAATAAGTGTAACTGCACATTAGCTTGAGGGAGTGGATATCATGGCATCGAGCAAATATTGGCCTCTTATCTTGCTGCCTGTAAGAAGCAGAGCAGGATCATTTTCTACAGAAGAGCTGCCACATATCCTGCACGGGGCCAAGTACTGCTTTATTCAATTATCTCCCTTGCTTAGCAAATACAATTTCCCTGCATAAATCACCCAAATGATCCCTATGACTGTCAGGGCCTCACAGTGGATTTTTTCAATCCTATCAGCCAAGGCCCAGCCAGGTTACGCGTTATCCTGCTTCTGTGCTCAATATCTATTGAGATGCTCCAATTGTCTGTTTTGAGTTTCAAATCCTCTGCCATCATTCTCAGTTCCTGATAAAAGTGACATTAAGCATCCAGCCACCAAGTCAGTAATCCATTACGAAGAAAGAGTATGCCAATTTAACTAATCCACCAAGCAATGACCCTGTAACCTTGACCTTGTAAACAGCACAATGGGGGGAGATTATGCGTGAATATTTGCTCCAGAGACTTTAAGTTGGGCTTCTTACGTGGCCTTAAACTCTGGCTCTTTTTGTCCAGTTTCATGCTGGAGAGAAATGCCCTCAGGTCAGTATAGTTTGAGATTTCGCTAGTAGCTAAATGCGAATATTTTGCCCTAAACCTTATGAGTCCATGCTCATCATTCATTTTTGGTTTGGAAACATCTGTAATATATTGATATGAACAGACCAAATTCAGCTTGATTCCAAATAGCTGTTCCTCGGCCAATAAAACAATCCCATTTTCAAAGAGCAGAGCTCAAGCACTGCTTTGACACACAGGCTAAACGCTGAAGGGACAAAAGCTCTAACAATGTTCTCCAAATACAATGCAGGACAAAGACCTCCATACCTTAATGGGTCAAATAGTGAATAAGGACAGCATTCTTTTAGTTCTTTTGCTGTGGACCCTCAGCTTTCCCCCTTTGCACAACTCAAATAGCACTACTGGTTTTCTGTGGTTCTCTGATAATATTCACTGAGATGAAATTAAGGATATAGAATAACTACGTATATATGTATAGAGAGAGAGCAAGCAACAATAATAATTTGGGTAACACTTTAGTTTAGGGTCCAGTTCTTAACTAGGCTAATTGCTTATTAGCATGCATATTATTGGGATAATGGAGTTTATTAGTACTTATAAAGCACATATTAATGCATTATTCTCCATGACCATATTCTACATCCCTCAATCCTATACCTAATACCTAAACACAACAACTAACTATTAATAAGCAGCAACTAAAAGATTACTGAGGCAAAAAAAATTGTAGTTTATAGTGAGAATTTCCCTAAAGGAAGGAAGGAAGGAAGGAAGGAAGGAAGGAAGGAAGGAAGGAAGGAAGGAAGGAAGGAAGGAAGGAAGGAAGGAAGGAAGGAAGGAAGGAAGGAAGGAAGGAAGGAAGGAAGGAAGGAAGGAAGGAAGGAACGATGGATGGATGGATGGATGGATGGATGGATAGATGATGTATGGAGGATGGATGGATGGATGGATGGATGGAAGGAAGGAAGGAAGGAAGGAAGGAAGGATGGATGGATGGATGGATGGATGGATGATGTATGGAGGATGGATGGATGGATGGATGGATGGATGGAAGGAAGGATGGATGGATGGATGGATAGATGATGTATGGAGGATGGATGGATGGATGGAAGGAAGGAAGGAAGGAAGGAAGGAAGGAAGGAAGGATGGATGGATGGATGGATGGATGGATGGATAGATGATGTATGGAGGATGGATGGATGGATGGATGGAAGGAAGGGAGGAAGGAACGAAGGAAGGAAGAAAGGATGGATGGATGGATGGATTCATTTTATTCCTTTATTTTATAGAATAACAAAGAATTCAATATAATTTTCAGGTTTAAAAGTGGCTTAATATTTTGGAGCCCACTATAAATCATTTATTTATTAGCATAATTAAATCTCTGTTATGAGAAGTGAAAATATTGAGTGGCAGCTTAAAAAAAATCCAGAACAAATAGATTTTTCAAGCAATTAGATTCTTATTGCCAGTTTTATGAACTACAATATATTAGCTCCATATTTCTATATGCTTTATCATTCATCATCAAAAAATCTAGAATGACACAAACACATCCCGGGAATGACTTGGAAAGCCGGGTGCTGTCATCCCTCAGGCTCATATCAAAATCAATCATCACTCACAATGATTCACAGCGCGATGAAAAAAAAAACGTCAATTTTACAGGAGCCATCAATTGACAGGGTTGGACTGACAGGAAGGATGAATATGAACCCGAGCGACTTCCTGGCAGATCCACACCTGTGCGAGTGAGAACAGGATCAGGAGCTCATTAAAATCCAAGTGTGATCCCTGCCTGGATCCCTGTGGAGCTGCAGTCATCAGACTCCCTTATGTGATAAATACAGCATCAGCGAGAGAAATTGAACCTGAAACAAATGGCCTTTCTCACTGTCTTTAAAAAGATGACAATAACCCTCCTTTCTTCTTTGTACTCGTAAATGATATCTGTTCCCTCACGCACTCAGAGCTTTGAAGGTGATTTTTTTCTCTCTCCCTAGTCTTTTACATGGAACAACTGTTGTTGAATGAAGTTTAATTTGCCACTTGTTTTGAAGCAGTGTGTGTGTGTGACTTGGTTTAAACATTGTAATTCATGGCTAGCGCTGGCTGCACACAAACAGACTTATCATAAAAGGTTGCTGCAGTGTTTAGGTAAACTTGACAGGGAAATCAAGCCTGTACATATGTTTCTGTTTGAGCGTTTCTCCATACGCCCACAGAGAGACAGATTCCCTGAACAGAAAGACCCTGACCCTTAATCAGTCCTCAGAGTCTGATTTGTCCTTATTTACATTTATAAAAGATGAAGAGGCTTATGTTAAATATCAGAGCAACAGAAGTGCCGGATATACGTTTGACACAGACACACAGACATGTTTTATGGGGACTTTCCATAAATATAATGATTTTCATACACTGTACAGACTGTATATTCTATATTCTAACCCTACCCCTAAACCTACCAGACTTTCTGCATTTTTACAAAAGTCAAAAACATAACTTAGAATGACTTATATGATGTTTTCCTCACAGGGGCCAAAAAAAATGTGTGGGGACATTTTGCAAGCACACACATACGCATGCAGTCAAAACGGCATTGTTGTGAAATATTATAACAATTTGAAATTTATTTTCTATATTAAAATATTTTAAAATTTAATTTGTTCTAATATTCAGCAATCTTCACTGTAAAAAAACGGAGTAAAATTTACTTATTTTTTAAGGCAAGTTTTTGCAGTATTTTTTGAGGAAATCTCACACATATAATTAAGTAAACTATACTTAACTAAAATAAGTGAAAGTAACATAAGAAATTAAGTAATTTTTATTTATCTAATTAAAGGTTAAGTAATATCTATTTTAACTATTTTTTTCTTTGTACAACATTAAACTCAAACAATATAACATTGAATTAGACCACACTTTTTAAGTGTATGATTTACACAGAAATGTTTAAGTAATCTATACATATAGTGTGTGTCACCATATCTTCATTTCTAAAGTTATAAAGTTATATATTATTTTGTGTCTGAATGTATTATTTTAAGAAGAAAATGAACTCCAAAGGTCACAAAATGGCAAGTTACAAATCCTAACAACAAAATCAATGATAATATAGTGTAA